GCAGGGTTGGAAGTGCAGTTCAGGAGGTTGTTATTAGACAACCCAGTGCAGTTGAAAGAAGTCATTTGGATATATGAGTCTGGAGTTCAAGGCCAGGGTCTAGACTGGAGATAAATTTAGAAGACCTCTGCATGAGACTGGATGAGCTCACCAAGGAAGTGAATATAGATAGAAGACAGAAAAAAAGAAGGGGTCCAAGGACAGAGCCTCCACAAGGGAACAGACCTTCGCTCCAGGAAGCTCTGAGGGATGGAGTGAGATAAGACAAAAACCAGGAAAAGTGCCCTGGCCAAGAAAGCAAGTGAGGAAGAGGGAGAAACCAGTTGGGTCAAACCTGCTGCTGAGTCACCTCACCAGTGTATCTAACAAAATGAAAGTAATTGGTGACTTTGAAGAGAGTAGTACCTGCAAAATGGTAGAGGTGAATGCGCATTAGAATAGATACAGCAGAGAGGAAGAGGACAGGAAATGAAGCGAGTGATTATAAGCAAGTATTCCAAGGCGTTTTGTAAGGTGAGCAAAGACATGGGGTGACTCCAGGCAGAAACGAGTGGGGAGGGTTCTAAGTGTATGTCTGTATGCTGATGGAGATGGCTCCTGTAGAGGGAATATTAATGATTTAAGAGACAGAGAGGAGAATTGCTGGGGCCTGCCCTTGACCAGGCACGAGGGAATGGAAGGCACAGTACAAATGAGAGGTGACAGGTGGGACACAGAGAGCTGACCCAGTAACAAGAGAGAGGGTGCAGAACAGGGGTGGGGTGGTGAGTAGTGGGAGCTGTGGAAGCTGTCTCGTGCTTGTCACTTTTTTCAGTGAAGTAGAAATCGTGGTCATCAGCTGAAAGTGAGGATAGAGAGGGAGGTGGTGTTTAAAGAGAGTGGAGAAGGTGTGAAATAGCTGTCTAGGAGGATGGGACAGTGAACAGATGATGAAAATATAGTACGATTTTTTGGCAGAATTAAGGGCCCATTTGAGTTCTGTCATCATGAATTTCAGATGAGCCCACTCAATGTGGCTGTGCGCGGCCATATTCCTCTGCAAGTCTGTGAATGTGGTGTCGGGAAGAGCGGCCAAGTGAACACCTTAGAAAAGGAGAGGGGTGGGGGAGCTGAGCTCCTAATGCAAGGGATTGTTGATAAGGTAAACAGTTCGATTTAAAAGTGGTGAAGAGAGAGGAGGGAACGTGAGAGGGATGACAGCCAAGATAGGTTGTAGGGCCCAGTGAAAGTTTGTCAAAATAGGAGTCTGAGAGGGAATAAGTCAGAAAGATGGAGAATATGGTAAAAGAAACTGCATTGGAGTTTTAGAAGGCTTGCAGTTAATAATCAGTGGTAAGGACAAGAGCTGGCCAGTGGTTCTCTGACTTTAATGTGCATATAAATCCTTGAATTTCTTATTCACATGCACATTTTGACTCAGTAAGTCTGGGTAGGCAGACCTGAGATTCTGCATTTCTGTCAGCCTCCCAGGTGACCTGAGTGCTTCTTGTCCAGGGATTTCATCTGAAAGACAATCTTCTAGAGTGGTATTCCTCAACCCTAGCAGGAAATCACAGCCCCTTGAGGAGTCTCAAAAATACAGATGCTAGACCAGTCTTGACCAGTGAATCAGAGTTGCTCTGGGTCAGATTTAATTTCTCTGGATTGGATGTAAAATTGATATATTATGAATGTCCAAATTACTCTACAGTGAAACCAGGATTGAAAGTCTCTGGCCTATCAGTGTGGGTGTCTTAGAGACCAAGACTGTGGCAGGAAGGAGGGTCATGTAATTGAGAGGCCAAAATGTTGAAAGTGTTTGTGGTTATTAAAATCATTAGAAATTGTGACAGAAAAATTGTGCTGCATAAAATGACTGTGAGCCCAGAGGTCTTTAAATGACCACAAAAAATATAGAAGGTGGGTGACATAATCTGATGGCATGAAATTCAAAGCAATGGTGTTTGGAGAGAATGGTCTAGAAAAGACAGTGCAGAACAAGGAGGGCACTTTCTGATTCCCAGGCCCAGTGTGTGTTGGGTTTAGGAAATCAAACATCCACCACTTGAGAGAACTGCAGGAAAAAAAAAAAAAAAAAGCAAAACAGAAGCATCATAAAGAGCTAAGTTTTAGTTAGAGAAAAGTAGAGAAAATAATCTAAACAGAGTTTGAAATTTTGGAGAATTTTGCTTCTGCATTGCAAAGCAGCGTGATAGGGGGTCGATATTTTTTCAGGGTGGGAGATGGGGATGTGCAGGACAGCATGAGGATTCCAGTGCCGGAGGTGATGACCTGAGCTTCCTGTAGAGATGTGGTCTCAAAGCAGGACATTGTGGCAGCTGCGAGTACTGGAATGTAGGGAACAGGAGGGTAGGCAAGTTACCAGAAGCCGGAGGAGCCCATGGCTCACCTTTCCATTTCTACAGCTATTTTCTAGCAAGAGTGAACTCTCTGTTTCTTTAAACTAGGCATTACAAGTGAGCCCAGTATGGAAAACAGTAAAACAGATCAAAGCAGAGCTTCTCTGGTTAAATCCAGAGTTGGGGAGGAAGGCAGTAACCTCCACAGGGCCCTGGGGGCCTCTCCAGTATGTCTGGGGTTCCTCAGGGGTCATCAAAACCCAGGTCATACTCACTGTTCCAGCACTGGCAAGAGACTTGAGAAAAATGCAGAGTGATATATTTGCAGGTAAAGATGGTTTACCCAGTAATCACAGAAGTCTTCTTAGATCTTGTCAACTGTGCAGATTGCTCTTTTTCTTCCATGTAATAAACTTGCAAAAATACAAGTAGTTTGCAATGTCCCTTGGGATCTCTTTATGTCACTTATGATCAGGTTAACCTCACTGTTGTTAACTGATGTGATTTAAACAGAAGAAACCATAGTTTTGAACAGTCATGGGTTCTCCTGTGACAATAGTTGGAATCTTCAGAAGCAAACCATGAGACCAAGATTTGAATGCAGAGGGTTTTGTTTTTTTTTTTAATGGGGCATTCATAGAAGAGAGAACCTTATAGCTGGGTGGAGCCACCAGGAGAGAAAATGAAGCCCAGTAAGTGTGTATAGAGATGGCAGGCGACATCTCAAGGGGACAGCTTCAGCCTAATTTTACAGGGGAACTCTGGAAGGTAGCAGCTCAGATTCTGACCCCAATTGGACACAAAGCATATTTCCACATCTGTGAGACAATGGTTAAGGTGGAGGTTGTGGGACAGGGTGGGGGAGGGGGGTGCTGTGAACCCCTAGGCACTTTCAGAGTCCACGAATGTCAGAGCCATCTTTCAAAGAAAGTGCAATTATGGGTCCTTGGAAGAAAAGCATGAAGAGCATGCTCGCTCTCTCTCTCTCTCTCTCTCTCTCTCTCTCAGGAGGGATCCAAGACCAACTCAGGGGATCCCAACAGTGCCTTCTATAAGTGGAAAGCTTTCTCTAGAATGGCATAGATAAAGATTAGATTAGAAAGTTAATGTCTGCTTTCAATGATCAATGATAATTAATAATTATATGAATTTTGCTACCTTCCCTCTTGCACTTCTAGTGAGCTCAAACTACCACACACATAGGGCCAGATTTTGAGAAAATCCGAGTCAAGAAGAGTGTGAGGTTCAGATCAGATATATCCAAGCATGGCCCTGACTGAATGTGGTCTCTGTATGTGAAAACAAAATGCATGTTTTAAAACTCCACTGTTTTAGATGGATTTGATTCTATTTCTCACTACCATAGTATAAATACCAAGAGGGTTTTGCCCTTTCAAAATTTATATCACCACAAATAGTTGCTCTTATCTACATCCTCAAATGTTTATTTCAGGATTGTTGTTGGTTTTTAAACGTTTTTCCCTTTAAATTGTGGTCTCTTTCCTAAGGATTAGAGGAGCATTATTTTAGAGTCCCTCTGTTGGATGTAATTTAGAGCTGTGCAAAGTCAAGCCCACTGACAGATTTAGAGATTAATTTCCAGACCTCTTGTGGTGCTGGAGATACTCTTTAAGATTTTGAAAATGGCAACACTATTGACTCTCTACCACTAAAGATTACTTGTATCCATATCCACAAGGATGCAAAAGAAAAGTTTAAGGGTGGCAAATATCAGTGTTGTTTTGCTTTATGGAAAATCCTGTGCATAGAAAAAAACAAAAACAGCAGCAGCAGCAATTTATAGAACAAGAAATAGTTCATCCTCCATAATAAGGACAGTTTATACAGATATATCTCCCTTCTTTCATTCTGTAAGCATAATATTGCTTTTGCTAAACTGATGTGATTTTCATGGAAAAAATAGTCCAGTAGTTCTGAACAGTCATGTCTTAGGTCAGGTTCCCCAGAAGCAAACCATGAGTCAAAGATTTGATGTTAGTGATACAGAAAAGGAGAGCTTTGAGTATGATGTATACGCTCTTTGGATTATATTGAAGGTTGGTACAAAACCTTTTCTTCCTCAAGTATTTTGGCTTAAATGCATCTCCAAATATGTGTTTGCTCCATTTTAAAGTAAGTGCATTTTCGGGGAAATTCAATCCATATGTTTCAGCAAGGTTACACGTAAATCATCCAAATGTTGGTTTATTAGAGCTACATGATGTCGAAGATGCCTTTTGAGCTTTTTTAATAGTCTTTACATTCTTTTGTGAAAAGCAGCAAGTTAGTTGCCAAGAGTAAACAAATCAAATAGCAAAAGGTTTGAGTTCCGTTTGAAATGCTTAGCCTATTATTTTTGATTGGGTTCTGAACTTGGCAGTGCACATTCCCTGTTCTTGCCTGCGGGGCAAAGTGAAAACAATTTGAACATTGTATTTCCCAACTGGTTCATTGACATTTGAGAATAATGTAGTACAGACAGAATCAGCATGTTTGGCAGGTGAGTGATACCTCACATGACCTCAGAAAGTTACTTCCTCCCGGATTGCTGAAGTTCATAGCACAGAGCAATGTCATACAAATTATAAAACACAGGTTAGGACAGACAGCCATCGAGGGATCCGTACTGGGTACTTACCTATTTCTCTTGTGCATCTTTAGGTGGAATGGTTGAAAAATGAAGACATAATTGACCCCGTTGAAGATCGGAATTTTTATATTACTATTGATCACAACCTCATCATAAAGCAGGCCCGCCTCTCAGATACTGCAAACTATACTTGTGTTGCCAAAAACATTGTTGCCAAGAGGAAAAGCACGACTGCAACTGTCATAGTCTACGGTGAGTGAGCTGGTGGAGTCTCAATCTAGTCCATGTCAAACTACAGTTTCTCGTTTTAATTTAAACTATCAAGCGAGAGGCCCTTTCTCTTTTCTTTTTTTTTTTTTTTTTAACATAATTTATTGTCAAGTTAGCTAACATATGGTGTATACAGTGTGCTCTTGACTTCGGGAGCAGATTCCGGTGATTCATTGCTTACATACTACACCCAGTGCTCATCCCAACAAGTGCCCTCCTCAGTGCCCATCACCCATTTTCAATCCCTATTGCCAGCTTGCAGCTTCAGCAGTGAGGTTTAACTGCTTCCCTGATAGGCATAGAAAGACCAAACTTGGAAATTCCTAGCCCTTGGTCAGTCAGCTTATGGAAAAGTGAAGGAAATCCACCTGAGTGCCTGCACCAGAGCCAGAAGATGCTCACCCATCTAAGCGTGCCCCCCTCCTCCATACCCTGGACCACCCAGATCTAGAGTGAGTTTGGAGATGAAGATGGTTAAGTCAGCCTGCTGACAATTCTGTGGGCTTTGGCTTAGTCAGGTAAATTGTGGCTGACCTGTTCCCCAGATACATCAGAGAACAATGTTGACTTCCTGGAACTTGCTTTACACACTGGGGGGGGGGGGGGGGGGGGCAGGTAGTTAGAGCGAAGGTGAGCACTGCTATGCGGTGGCCCTAATCCTAACCACACAGCAAGTTCAACATAATGATTTCTTCGGGAAGCCTCCCTTCTGCTCTCTGGCCCTTTCTAGTCCAGCTCATATCCAATCTGACCTAATATTTCTCCAGAAATACTCAACAGTTTCACACCCAATTTTGCTGTAGCGTCTGATGCTTTTATCTCTTTGCGGTATAGCACTCAGTTGTCTTCCAGTCATTTTATGAGGAGTTTCATCTCCCCAGCTGTGTGTTAAGCTCCACTATAGACCAAGAGACTGCTCTGTGTATTTATGTATTTCTCACAGTGTTGGGCAGACAGTAGGTCCTCACATTCTGGGTGATTTATTGTGTCAGATGAAACCAAACAACCCTAGGAAGTATTTTGAGGGTATGCCCCCTCTTAAATGAGATGCCTGTGTCTCACCACCACTTGGAACTTAAGGAAGCTTTTCAGGGCTGCGTCAGTGTGAAAGGACATTCCAGGGACCTTCGTGTCTGGGTGACTGCAAAGGAGGGGCAGCCCTTGGCAGGTATCTGGCTCGTGGTACTTAGTGTAGATTCTGCCATTTGGATGGATGTCCTCATGCTGTGGGGAGTTAGGAGAAACAGAAACCACGTGAGGCTCCAAAGGCTGTATATTGTGACACTTTAAATCTTTCCTTTTTATTCCAAGACAGATACATACAATTTTTTAATCCTCTGGATACTCTGAGATTTAATTTCCTCGTCAAGATAATGGCTATGTTAAATTGTAGGTAGTTGCCTCTCTTCAGTCACAATGAAAGGATTCCTACTTTTTGTCTTTTTCTAAACTGGCTGAACAACTTGATTAACAGTATTTAAAGTGCAAAAGATAATGGGGCACATCACAGCACGTAGCAATCATAGATAACTAATGATGATGGACTGTCTCTCTATGTGTTATATAGATGTTTAATATACATGCAGATCTCTTCCCCTATATATAACATGCTTTCAATATCTACAAATGCAAGCTGAACATGGTTTTTAGAAAGAATCAAACAGATGGAACTTAGGCACTTTGAGTTCAAAAAACATCATTGGACCCTAGGGGTCAGGAGACTTGTGCTCTAGGACTAGTTCTAGTAACTGACCTTCAGTTGGCCACTTGACCAGGATGCTAGGAACCCTCATATCCTTGTCTGTAAAATGAGGGTATAAGTCTAGGGCTTTCACATTCCTTTTTTTTTTTTCTCTAGAAGCTTATCATTATTTGTTTCTCATTAAAATCCTACCAGAGCAGTATATGGATACTATAACCCCAAATATTGGCTTGCCAGTATGCTAGTAAGCAGTTTACACTGACAATTCCATGACACTGGGTTTTGTAAAGCTGAGCAGGTTAAGTTGCTTTTTGGAACACTAACTGAAACACAACCTATCAGCCATCTGCTTGTCCTTTTCATGGCCTCATAAAGTAAGTCGTCCAAGGCTCATAGATTAGGCTCACCAGAAGTTTATAGCAAAACGTATACATCTAACGAGTATTTCATTTTTGAGTGTGTTGTATATATTTATTTTTGTTAGTATCATTTTGAGATGGCAAATATATATCTGTTATAGAAAATTTAGGAAACACAGAAAAGGTCAGAGAAGAAAATGCCAATAATCCTGTCATCTTGTCATCCAGAAATAGCTTTTAAAAAGATTGATATGCATACTACTGGTATTTTTATGCATAGATAAGATTTTTTAAGTAAGGGATATAAATATATTTTTTACTTAAAACGTGATGTTCAAATATTCATGTATTATTAAATAGACTTCTAGAGCACCATGTTTTAATGGCTGCCTAGATGTCAGTCACATGAACATACATTTACCCGTTTCCTATTGTTGAACATTACAGTTGTTTACAATTATTTATCTTTATAGAAAAATAACTCTGCCATGAAAATTATTTTGTCTGTGTATGTATGTATAACAGATTCATAATTTTTCCCATTGCCTTGCATAGGTTTCTAGCAGAGAAGATGTCGGGCATGTGATATGCACATATAAACTGTGTGCTGCCTGAGTGTCTAGCACTCTCTTTATGATCAGGAGTTCTAGTTATGTCATGTTCTAACTTCTACTAGTTACGTCAGGTTTTAACTACCAGCAAATAATTTTTGTTAGAAAATGCTTAATTACAATAATGTACTCTAAACTCACATAATGGAAGTCCTAAAATATATTAGAGTATTTTCTACAGGGCTATCTCCGGCGGTAAATAGTGAACATAGCAGTAGAATGTAGGTTTTATAATCATACACTGAACTCTCCATCAAACACCATAATTGACTTTTACACACAGAATAGGTGTCCATTTCAATTACATAAACTAAATGCCAATTCAATCAAATGGCTACTCAATTAGTTTAAAATCTAGCAATATAAGACTTTATTTTTTAACGAGGTTCACCGTGTTAATGAAACTGACCAAAAGTCCTTAAAAGGCTGTAAAGTTTACATGTGCTAAAGAAAAATAATCAATCATCTATTAAGAAAAAGCTACATGATTTTATTCAGCTCTCATGCTTCAGATGCCACCTGCAACCTTGGCATAAGGATGTAAACATTTATTATTTGAGATAAGCTGTCAAAAATAATTTTTAAAGCTTGACTAGGTAAGAGGAATGTATTTTTTTTAAGAACAGTAGCCAAGAAAAATAGAACACGGTTCTATATACAATTCTGAGTAGGTGAGTACATTTTGGTAATTCATTTTATTTATCTCTATGCTTAGATTCCTCAGCTATGCAGTAAAACTGAATGAAATGATGCCCAAGGTCTCTTCTATCTTTGAAATTTTAGATTGTTTTATGGTCACTTAGCAGATGACTTTTTGTCTATGTGTTGTGCATGGTTTGTGTGTCTGTGTGCATGAACACACATATGATTCAATTTTATATTTACCTTCTTCCAGTAAATGGTGGCTGGTCCACCTGGACAGAGTGGTCTGTGTGTAATAGCCGCTGTGGACGAGGGTATCAGAAACGCACAAGGACCTGCACCAACCCAGCACCACTCAATGGTGGTGCCTTCTGTGAAGGGCAGAGTGTGCAGAAAATAGCCTGTACCACCTTATGCCCAGGTAAATAAGACAGTGCTTGCGTTCCAAATGTATCCTCCCATTTTCGGATTGTTTTAGGAGATATAAACAAAGCCTTATTCACCTGAATATGTGATAAATGTTATTTATATCCATCATACCATTGAATGCTTACACTGCTGAGAAATCAAGTATTTTTCTCCCAAACAGTATTTAACTTTATTAGCCAAACATGCAAAATAGAATAAAACATGAGATTAAACACTTACGGACATAATCCCTCTCTATTACTGGACAAAACTGCTAGAGCCAAGATTATAGATTCTATAATTCAAGGGATTTGGAGAGCCCTGAAAGCCACACATTTTAGGAATAACAACTCTTGATCTTTAGACAGCCATGGAAATTATTGGAATGAAAATTTAGAATATGTTTTATTCTGAGATATTTGATATTTGGTGTCAGTTTCTGGGCAAGGGCAAATAAAACATTTGGAATGAATTAAAAAGAAGACAAAGCTTTGTGACACCTGGGCTAATGGGTTTTGAAAATACAATGCAGTCAGCTCTTTATTATCTGAACATGTTGGTTGTGCATTTCTGTGAGTTATTTGCAGTGGCAACTATAGCAAGATTGCATCCCTTTGGTTCTGACCATCTTCTGATGCTGTCTCATGTTGTCACCAGCTCTTATCCTTAGGCAAATTAAAGTTAATATTGCCAAAATCAAAACCAAAATCAACTAAAATGTTTAATTATATGATATATTGAAAACTTAAGCTAAAATTATTTTGAAATAATCCATAAATTTAGTGCATTCCTTGGGTAGCTGTTATATTTCAATTTCATTATTTATTTGTCTTTTATTTTATTATTTTTTTTGTGCCTTCATGATTTAGAAACAATCTCCTTACGTCCCTTTATTTTGCCTACCTTTTGTCTTATTCATCCCTTAAAGAAACTTTCTCAGAGATGGGTTGTAGAAATGAACTGTAGAAAAATATAATCTATATTTTATACTCCCAAGTGTCCACTCTCAAATATCCAAACAGTATCCCATACTGAATCCTTTGAGAGATTTTATTAATGTAACAAATCTTGACACTTAGCTAGGTTTAAAATTTCAATATTTACCTTGTAGTCTCTTATATTTTATCTAGATATTGACTTCCACAATTAAAAATGCACTGAGTATTTTCAGTTGAGATAGAAGTGTGTGTGTGTGTGTGTGTGTGTGTGTGTGTGTGTGTGTGTGAACTTTGGGCTGGTTTAGGTCAAAGCAAATGTATTTTCTCCAAATAGCTGGGAGTTGCTTATACAGCCAACTCTGTATAATTGAAATATTGATGCTTTCATCATTTTTTTTCATATGGGCATGTTTATATCTCCATACGCATTATATATAATATATTTACACAGTAATTTGAATATGAAATCATCTAGATTTTCCAAACTGTGTAGGCTATTAAAATTAATGTAATTTCTATGAATATGTAGGTGTAAGATATTATGTATATTAGATGTTCAATAAATGATTTTTGGCATTGTTTCATATTGAATTCTAGATAATCATAATTACTTATGTATTTCAGGAAAACTTTTTATTTAACCACTTTTCAATATTGTTATCCTATTTAAGAATTTCTTAAGAATGAATTTTAAGTGTGACTTTAGTGAGACTTACTATGTATTTTTTCAACTAGGATTTAAGTTGTATATTTTTAAAAGAGATAGCTTAGTATCATTGAAATTACTGACAAGTCAGACACAAAAATTAGAAAGAAAGTTAGTTATAAATGACTGAGTCACAGCAAAAAAATTAGGAATCTGTATAAATATTATTTGTAAAATAGAAATAGAAATATATATATCATCAATAATGGAATGGAATCATCAAATAATAAGTGGAAAATAATATAGTCATTTCAGTAAAGCATTGCAGAACAGCATCAAGCTGCCTGGATGAAAAAATTTAAAAAAAAAAAAGTAAGGCATGGATAGAGAATGGATGGATAGATAGATAGATAGATATGGATGGATAAATGGATGGATGGATGGATGGATGGATGGATGGATGGGTTGGTCATTGGGTGGATATATAGATTTCTTCCCCATTGTACCAACCTCTTCTTCATATCCTTACACAGGTTTACTTGCACTGACCACATGACACTATGTGCAAAGAAATCTTGGGTTCAAAAAGACGTCCCCTAAGTTTCAATATAAAATCCAAAAGCTTCCCTTTTAATAGAGAAAAGGGCACCATCATGATCTACCTTTATGTACCTCCTAGTCCTCACCAGCTCCTGGTGACAACTTTGCTTTCTGTGTGTCCCTTTAAGCATTCCTTTGCTTGGTCAGTAAGGAAACAGTCACACACCCAGTAAGAAAAGTTCTCAGAACCCTGACAATGCATGTAGAGCGTGCTTACTTGCCAGCAGGTGACATGAATGCAGGACTCCTTGATGGGACATTTTCTTCAGTTTTCTGTTTTGTTGTTTTGTTTTGTTCTGTTTTGTTTCGTTTTATATACTTGAGTTCTACTCCCTTCTCCCCCCAAGCAGCTGCTTCTCCCTCTGACCTTATGCTGGTTTTTGTGTGTGTGTGTGTGTGTGTGTGTGTGTGTGACAGTGGATGGCAGGTGGACTTCATGGAGCAAGTGGTCTACTTGTGGGACCGAGTGCACACACTGGCGCAGGAGGGAGTGCACGGCACCAGCCCCCAAGAACGGAGGCAAGGACTGTGATGGCCTCGTCTTGCAATCCAAGAACTGCACTGATGGGCTGTGCATGCAGAGTAAGTCTATTTGAGCAAACAGCAGTTGGGAGGCCTGGTATTTAACCATTTGGATTTCTCGGAGGGAAATATTAGAAATTAAGAATTCTGAACAACAACAAAAACAATGCAGTAATATACCAATATAGTAGCTCTGTCTCAGAATTCAAAGAACTAATCTCCCAGGAACTTGAATGAATAATAACTGTCCGGTTAACAAATGACATGCACAATATTGCTTTCTCATGAGCAAAGAGTGAGTTAGTCATTTCTATGGGGGAACTATCATTCTTTCCAGACCTGGGAGCCATTACTCAGCGTTATTAGAATGCATAAAAGGGCACCCTAAGCAACTCATAGTAGAATCACATGACTTCAAAAAAGTAAGCTATTTATTCCTAATTCATGGCCATTACTGAACCAGTGTCCATGAATGTAAAATATATCTAAAGGACAGGAAATGTTCCTGCAATTTACCAATTTACAACAAATGCTTGGTGGGAACATGTCCACAAGCCCTTGAAAATTTGAGGTTTGTGTTAATGTTCGTTCAAAGAAAATAATGTTAATAAAACAAAAATTTTAAAACCAGGTGTAGAAGATTGGCCCAGGAATATAATGGGTGCTATAGGAAAAATATCCCCCAGTTTTCATGGCTTTGTTTCTTAGATTTTCTTAATGAGTTGATAGTTTGATGTCCATACTTGCAAACTCTTACCCCTTTAATGGAGGAGCCCTTAGATGTGCAAAATTTACCATCTTACATGACCATGAAGTAAGGTATTAAGAATTGTTCTGATCTCACGCCTATGCGGCTGAATGGATCAAACAATGTGCTATCCTTGGATCTTAACTAATAGCGGCCAGATGTTGACATTTCTTATAACACATTACAAATTGCTTGCAGAATACAGGCAACCAAATATATTTGTGTAGATGTATTTGTGTTTGTCGTTTAAGAATAAAATATTTCACTTTCGCCACATTTATGAAATTGTGTTTACCTTCCAGGGTCTATACACACAAGGACCTTTAAAAAGAAACCTTACTTAAAATACAAATAAGTAATTATGTTGCTGACACAGAATAAAAATCCAACAGGCTTCTTATTTTTCTGTCCACAGTATGTCGCATCCTTTGAGGACTGGCTGCTGCTGAGTATAAAGCACAGCTTCTGGTTATGATTTGCAGACTGCTACCGTGCATCTCACCAAGTTTGTGTTAGAAATACAAGAATGAAAAGAATATAGCTGTTTTCCTAACCATTTATCCAGAGATACAGGGTTTGTTCCTCTAGGCATGACTTTGAGTTGAGGATTAAAATAAAAACATAGCACACACCACGTCATTCTTTTTTAAATATTTTTATAATTTAATATCCTTCCTTTAGTGGTGAACAAATTGATTCGTGTGATCAAAAGGTGGCAATATTTGAACTCTCTCTCCATGTGTGTCTCTCTCTCATCTCTTTCCTTTTCTCCCTCTCTCAATTCTATATTTCCACTTTGGGTGATTTAACACCTACTGCTTCTATTGTGCATATTTTTAAATTCCCAAAGCAACCTATTTAACCAGAAATACAATGCTTAAAGATGGAACTTGGGGCCTTTAATTGGTTACACAAAATGACACGTATGAAATTATGACATTTGTCAAATACAAACATGAAACATTCAAATTAAGACTTTCATGACATAGCATCCCTTTAGCATCTAGCTTGTTTCCTATGGCATTTATAGAACCTTTTGTTTAATGATTGGGTATTTGCCAGTAATGATGGCAGTGAAGTGATTATGTAAATCAGGAACAAGAACAAGGCTACATGAGGAGTTTTGTTGTTTTTTTTTGTTTTGTTTTTTGTTTTTTTTTTTTTAATTTTATCAGATCCCTTGTTAGAGTGAAACATTTGAGTGTTTGGGTTAAAATCAGATAAAAAAAAAAACCTGTTTATTTCCTTTTACAATTCTGATTTACTATAGTAACAGCCCCTACTAAGTCAAACTCATCTGCTCTCCTATATCTATCTACTCTAGTGCAACAGAAAATTGCAGTCTGTACTATTGATTTCCTCAGTGATAAAAACCACAAAGATAGTGCTACACTGTGTAATTATAGTATTCTAGAGTGAAACTTACAGTTTCCACTTACCAGTAAGCTGGGTGTTTCTGGCATAACATTGCACCAAAATCTTGCAAAGAAATAATACTGCTCTTGGCACTCATTTTGAAAAAGAAAGGTTTTCTAATAGTGAAAGTACCAAGCTTGCGAGAGAGACATGGTCTATAATTAAGAAATAGGATGGGGAGCCCGGATGGCTCAGTTGGTTAAGTGTCCAACTCTTGATTTTAACTCAGGTCATGATCTCCTGGTTCGTGAGATTGAGCCCCGCATGGGGCTCTGTGCTGACAGTGCAGAGCCCTGCTTGAGATTCTCTTTCTCCCTCTCTCTCTCTCTCTCTGGTCGTCCCCAGTTCGCACATGCACACTTTCTCTCTCTCTCTCTCAAAATAAATAAACTTAAAAAGAAAGAAAGAGATAGACTGGAAGTAGAAAAGATAGCCAAAAAGTTGTACTTGACAATTAAGAATTATAATTTTGCATTTATTTACTTTAGGAGAATTAGTGTCTTCAATGCATTAATAGCCTTTCAACAATATTGCAATATTATCTCAAAATAAAGCTAGTTACCACTCAACAAAGTATACAATACAACCTCTGAAATTGTATTCCTAGTTGAAGTTGTATACAGATGATTCTGATATGTATGTAGACATACACAGCTAGGTGGGAGAAATTCAGAGTGCATAATAGAGATCAGTAGAATTCAGAAGCCTAGATAATATAGGGTAGTTTATTTTAAAAGCCAAATTGATACTTAAGAACAATGTGGCATATATACAATATATTACTCTCAATGTTTATTCAGAAATGTGTTCAAAATAGTCATATTCAGTCACATTTCTTCCTTAATCATCTCCATCAATACAAGTACCTTTGACTCAAAATATGTAGAAATATTAGGTAAAATATTAAAACTTAAAGGACATACATATACACACATATGGAGTGTCTGTATATGTGTGTGAGAGAGAATGAGTCAAGTTCAAAAGAAAGAGAAATCCTCAAAATAAAGTAGGAACTCAATGGGGCGCCTGGGTGGCGCAGTCGGTTAAGCGTCCGACTTCAGCCAGGTCACGATCTCGCGGTCCGTGAGTTCGAGCCCCGCGTCGGGCTCTGGGCTGATGGCTCAGAGCCTGGAGCCTGTTTCCGATTCTGTGTCTCCCTCTCTCTCTGCCCCTCCCCCGTTCATGCTCTGTCTCTCTCTGTCCCAAAAATAAATAAACGTTGAAAAAAATAAATAAATAAATAAATAAATAAAGTAGGAACTCAAAATGAGAGGGGTAACTGCATGAGTGGATACCAGAATAATCCAGAAGGACATTGGACAGGGGTGTGGATCCTAAGGATTGGGAGCTAGAGTCTTAGCTTTGGCACAGAGGCAGAGGCCCTGGGTTTGCAAAAGCCAGAGGCCAAGAGTTGAAAGCTAGAGCCCTAAATAAAGCTGGGTCGCATAAATGACTGCTCCCACCATGAAAAATAACTAGATTTTTTTTTTACCCACCAGCCCAGGGAAGCCACAGGAAAATTCATGGCAGAGAAAATAAAAATTAAGACTTCACGTAAATAAAACCCACGGTACAACCACAATCCTACACCCAGATCTGCCACGGAATCTAAGATACAATAGTACTAAAGGACTAAAAAACAAAAGATAAGTAATTAACATAATTGGTGAAATTTCTAGGGTACCAGCAGAAGCAAACAACAAGCCATTCTGTTGAGTTTTTCCCACAACCCAAGTGCATTGGTCTATGACAAAAGTATCCCAAGCCTGAAAATGAGATTACAATACAGTTTCACAGCACCCAAGGGAACAGTCTGCTGCAAGAGAGAGCATGCATCAGAATTAAGTGAGTTAGTGTTCTCATAACATGGACACAGAGCAATCTGAATGAGATTATAAAGTAAATAAAAGGAGGGGCCTGGGTGGCGCAGTCGGTTAAGCGTCCGACTTCAACCAGGTCACGATCTCGCGGTCCGTGAGTTCGAGCCCCGCACCAGGCTCTGGGCTGATGGCTCAGAGCCTGGAGCCTGTTTCCGATTCTGTGTCTCCCTCTCTCTCTGCCCCTCCCCCGTTCATGCTCTGTCTCTCTCTGTCCCAAAAATAAATAAACATTGAAAAAATAAATAAATAAAAAAAAAAAATAAAAAAATAAAGTAAATAAAAGGAAAAACACAAACTGTATTTTTAAAAGGAATATAAGCACAAATGCAAGAATAGAATATGTAAAAAAGGGTAAACAGATTAGGGGGAAAATCAAAGGGAATGCCTAGAAAGGTAAACATAATTGAAAGTTAAAACTCAGGGGGAGGTTAAAAATCGGATCAGAGGCAACTTTAGATAAAGCTGAAGGGAAAATTAGTAAACTGGAATGAAGAGCTTATGAAACATCTCAGAATACAGGGAAGATAAAGTAAGTGATTTTATAAAAGGGAAGTAAAAACACATGTAAAATAGAATGAGAAAATCCAATTGCTGAAGAAAACAAAATTAAAAAGCTTTTCAGACAATCAAGACAGAGAAGGCTTACTACTCACAAACTCTCACTGAGTAGACTACTAAAAATATTATAAAACAGAAATTGATTTTTCAAAAACAAGAGATAGACCAATTAAGGGACAGAAAATAAAATGAAAATAAGAAACTAAGTTATAGACAACATTAACACAGCATATGGGAAAGTGTGATCAAAGTTAAATGTTTCTAATTTCCATATAGTTAGATTCAAGTTTACCAGTTAAAATATTAATACCGATAGATAAAAGGTGAATTCGTAAATTCAAAATAAGATTTTTAAGGGCAGGAAATGAACAAGAAAAAAGAAAAAATACGGTAAATGAAAACAATAATTAAGATGGTATCAGGGCGCCTGGGTGGCTCAGTTGGTTAAGCATCCAACT